GGGTCCCGAACGTCACCGAAATTTGGCATTCAAGTATTTTTCATAGTTTGTTTTCTTTGCTTTTATGTTTTTGTTTTCTTTCACACCCCGACACGTTTTATAAAGAATTTGTCGAACACTACAGCAGCGCCGAAAAAAAGATCCACAAAGGCAGAGTCCAGCTCACCAATTAAAAGCCACAGCAGTCGCCTCATCGGTGCTTGTCTTTTTCAGTACGCCACAGCTTAGGGTGTGGTATCTTCTCCCCGAACGGCGTGTAGCGCTCTCCACGCTCGGTCGCTTTGAAGACCGCTATCATCAGAGTGATATGATGAAAAGAAAGGGTTCCGAACGTCACCGAAATTTGGCATCCAAGTATTTTTCATAGTTTGTGTTTTTTGTTTTTATGTTTTTGTTTTCTTTCAAACCCCGACACGTTTTGTAAAGAGTTTTTCGAACACTACAGCAGCGCCGAAAAAAAGATCCACAAAGGCAGAGCCCAGCTCACCAATTAAAAGCCACAGCAGTCGCCCCATCGGTGCTTGTCTTTTTCAGTACGCCACAGCTTCGGGTGTGGTATCTTCTCCCCGAACGGCGTGTAGCGCTCTCCACGCTCGGTCGCTTTGAAGGGAGAGTTTGGAATTCTCAGTGGAAGGATGCGGCAGTCGTTGTGGAACCACTACCGCTGGCCATGGGAATTCGGGGAGAAGTTCCGCCACCCAATAACTTTCAAGGAACGACTCTAGAAAAGCTGGTGGTCTCCTTACTGATAGTCACACAATCGCTCAACAACTCAATAAAAAATTTATTAGCGTGAAAAACAACTATACAGTACTCGTATTCCAATGTATGCAAACAAAGTGTCACTGAAGCCTTTGAACTGATGTGAGATGAGTGGGATAGTCGACCTATAACTCAAGGTAATCTATGAAACTCCTAATTTCCAACAACCTTTAAGGCTTAACGGAAAGCACATTAGCACTATAAAAGACTAAAAGACGTTAAAAGAGACGTTCAAGCGAATCCTCATGATCACGATATAACTGTGGTATAATGGTAGGCCAAAGGATGGCATCTTCAGCGAACGACGCTAATATCATTCGATTCATAGGCCCCACTTACTGTCGGGTCATGCTATACGAACGGACCATGATGTCTCCAATAGCCATTCACAGAATGGCTACAGTAATTTGTAATGGTACAATAAACCTCAAAGTGGCAGTTTTGCTACGCTGCTGCTGATGCTGGGTACAGTGGAACAGCTTCGTGGTTTCTTTGGAGCATCGAAGACACCAAGAGTCAGGCGACATCTTGGAAATTCCCAGTAGGAGAGGCAGTAGAAGAAAGAATTGTAGCCGACGAGAATGTATTCAGCAATGGAAAATGCGATGTAGGCTGAAAATAGGGATAGTGTACCACTTGAAGGAGTCACATATGCACAGCTGACATGGTTACAATCGAAACTTTGCTAATTTTGATTACCCTAAAACTTTGTTTAGTGGCGGAGATTCAACAGTCTTCTAGCGATCACTGGACGGACTTTATGTCTTCTGGACGAGCACATCCACATCATGGCACGACAGAGGAGTATAATCCAGGAGGGGAGGGAAAGACACTATCGAGTGTACCTAACTGAATCTGCCATTTGTTTCCTACAACACCGTAGATATTGTTAGGAATAGTCGAAAAACCAAGGTCCCGTGAGACACAGCCAAAAAAAGTGGTGTCTCTAACTTCGATTGAGGATGCTTTCCTGCATTCGACTTCCATCCGGGTATGTAGCCCATACAGTAACTTGTCAAGTCAGTACTGTTCTCCTCCCAGATGAGTCTGGTAGCAATTGACCATGTGGGCATAGGAGCCCAGATTGGAAAAGTGGATATCAAGACCGTATTCAGTCCCAGGACCAGGGATGACAGTGAGCCATTGGGCTTTGAACCATCTAATCTTGTATAAGGATAAAGGATAAAGTTTTTTGGCGTTAATCAATCCCGTCTGAGAGATGCGCCCCCGCC